TAAATATAAATATAAATATAAATATAAATATAAATATACCAGACATCAAAAATACTATGATTTAAAAAAAGTAAGTTGAAAATTTTTTATGGAGAAAAATTATGGAATTGAACCGTCAGTAATAAATTCTGTCCCATTCAGATTCATCATTTCAGCACTCACTTACCTTTCTTAAAACTACCAGTAAAAAGCTTTAACACTTCTGATGCATATACTAAACAACTAACCAAGATAAAATGATCATATTATGCAAACACTACAATTAACTAAAATGGACTCTTAATATCCATTCCAAATTAATACAGTGGTAGCATACCTCGACTGTTCCATCAGCAAATCCAAATCGTTTCTGTACAACAGATGTTAATTCACGAATCCGCCGTCCACGTTCACCCAATACACTTTGTGTACGTGTTGCCAAAATGATTATCTGCATAAAGATATATGTCAAAGCTCAGAAAAGTCAATGCATTCTAATCCAGAAAATAACGTAAAATTTTTTTCAAAAAAGTAATGAAATTAAAAAACCATGATCCATTCAGATTCACTATTCCAACAACTGCGCAATCTTCCCCCATCCTTTTTGGAAAATCTTAAAATTTAAATCGTTCTTTAAGGCGGACAACTTTCGAAATGGAATCCAACAAAAAATGCCAACTTCAGCACGTGCCGGTGTTCGTCGAACTTCAACACCCGAATAACCATCTTCAGCAAGTTCCTTCATAAGGAAATTATTTAATTCAGCTTTAAAAATACCATCCTGCACTGCCTTCCGTTTTTTCGACATTTGTTGAGTTGTAGTCATCATTGATGGATTTCCCTTGTGAAATTACAATACCTAATAAAAACTTCCAAGACTACCTGAAACTATTGAAATTATTTATAAAAATTGACATTTGAAGCTCGCAAAATTCTAGCTTTTTATGCATACAATCTGACTGTTCCCATCCAATATTATGCAATCATGAAATTGGAAAAAATAAGTTTTGAACTAATAATGCACGCATTGTCCACCAACATCCACAAGTTTGCTTGTAGAATCCATGACTTTAGATAACTCCAAAGTTCTAATGATGGAAAACATAACGTAATCTTTTTAATTATGCAATAGAGCATGCCGCAGATGACGCACAATCCTATCCGACACAAAAAATCGCACGGAAGTGACAAATACAATAGTAAAATCTAAAGCAGTTACATAATGATAAGAAAAATACAAAAGCAGAAAGGCTATCAACGCATGGATACAAGCGACTACACTTAATGACAACAGAGTTTAAGGCTTCGTTTAAGGTCGATCTATGTGATCAATATACCTTAAACGAAGTCATACAAGTCATATAAGCATTCTTGATAACAGCCTTTATCAAACAACGCTTTAGTAATGTATGACCACTATAACTTCCAACGCGTAAAAAAACCAACCAGGTCACGCAACATCCCACCATGTCCGTTGTTCCCTGACCCTAAAGCAGCTTCATTCCAGCAATCGCGGCCTGTTAAATACTCTCCCATCCACTGCCACAATTAATTTTCTTGAACCTCTTTTCCACTGCTTGTTACCGATTCTTTGCTCGTTGCTACAATGTCTGTCTATGGTTTGATAAGAAGAATCTGCGTAAATTCTCTAATGCTGTAAAACTGTCTGAGTTCTCTTTGTTCATAATGCTGTTCTTTTTATCATATGTGTCTAATGCTCTATACACCAGAGAAGATGAATTGCAGTTAAATCCTAACGCTTCCTAATTTTGTGTTTCAATTTTGTGAGGTGTGGGAGTTCTTGTTGGTTGAGTTCAGTGAGGTTTAGAGTGGAGGAAGTGAAGAGTGAAGGCAATCAAGCTGCTATTTTCATTAACAAAGTTTGATCGAACTTTTGCAAGTTATCAAAGCTTAAAGTTACTGACGAAAATGAATTATTGAGTGGGGCATGTATTTTAGTTGCTAAATTAATTAATAATCTAATTAAAGTAATTAATTTTTACATTGCTTTATTAGACTAGTCATCTAAATTGAAGGCGAACTTTACTTAAGCAATATTCAAAATAAGTGATTTATTTTTTGAATTATTATTTCCATTTTGATAAATATAAGATTAAACAAGATTACATTGCAATTAATTACTGCCTAACAGGAATTTGATTTCATTTACAAAAAAAAAAGTGACAGAGATAATATTTTCACACATATATTTACAGTAGTGGGTGTATTTATGAGTAATCTTCATGGACCAGAGCTTCACTGCTTGACCCTAAACGTTCTCTTTAAGATTTAATCAACTTCGACAATTTAGGATCCCATGATTTGAATTTTTGGAATATGAACTGGAATCTGCTTCATCTTCTTCCATACAGGTTTGATGCAACCGGAAACAGTTTCAGAAGATTTGTGAAATAAAAATTTTATCAATCTAAAATTAATCAGTCTATGTAGAATCTAGTTGATTCTCTTCTTTAACCTTTAATCCAGGAGAATATCCGCTACAGTAGGTTCATAAATGATAGCCTAAATCTTTTTTATAGTTTCAGTACTAATTTGATTAATAGCAAAATCAATTAATTCCACCAACAGCATTTCAGTAATACAAAACATATATGAAAAGAGAATGTGAACAGAGACGAATTGTACAACATCATGTCAATATAATCGATCGATTGTCGATCTTCATATTCTACATGCCCGTATAATTTTATCACCCAATAAAATCCTGAAATTTGAAATTAAATTTAAAACTCAAAATTTATTTATATCAATTCATCAAAAATTTCATACTGGTTTTACTTATCTTGTAAGTATTAGGGAGATTGTTCTGAAAGTCATTCTATAAATTTTAATAAGCAATATCAGAAAATGTAAATGATGTATTTAAATGCTAGAAGTGGTAAAATAATAAACTTCGAAATATTTGGATTGTATTCGGACCCTTATACGTGGGTCTTAAAGTGATGAAATGTAAGATTTCTAATAAATAATTTTTTTAAAAATTTGCAGTTACTCACCAACAAATCCAATAAATAGAACAAACAGTGCAACCAGTAAGTAAATAATGCAACCTATAAAACGAATAATTTGATAACACCATCTGTTCTTGTTGGCTTTTGTTGTTGCATAAATACAGAAGAAAATGATGCTTAAAAAGAGTTGTACCAATCCTGAAATCACCCTCAGTCAATTGAAAGGCAATTATTGGTAAGGGATTTGAATAATTGCCAGAAGAGTTAAGATATATTAAAATTGTCCAAGTTGACCCCTTTGTTTCTCGGTGAAGTCACGATAATTCTTCTCCAGAACAATCTTTGTCTCCAAAGCCTACTCTCAGCTATTCTCAGAAACTGATATGCAAAATTTTATGAATGAAATTCGAACATTTAGTTATAAAATTTGAATGTTTGAGAACAAAATTTTAATATTTGAGTTTGCGTATTTAATATCTTATTCCAAACTCAAAATTTATATTTATAACTTCAAAAATGAAGGATAATATTTATTTTATATTTTAGTTGCATTAACAAAGAGAACAAATGTTATGCTTGCGAAAGTTGGAACATTTATCTGTCTTGAACTTCAAATGAGGTAACAGTAAAAAGTGATTGGTTGCAGCAGGAAAAATTTTTTTGAAACGAGATATGAAGAAATGTAATTTATCATTAGCTTTTTCAGTAAGTATAATTGCAAAACGATATTCATAAATGCTTAAATAATTTTATGCAATGTTTAGTAAATTTGATGAATAATCTTTATTAGTTTTGGTTAGGTAAGCTAAGTTTTGACTTGCGTCACGATTTTTCATCGTGATTATAATCAAAATTATCGGTGTTTTTAATGTCAATGAAATATGTAAACATACTTATTACTGATTTTAGCACTCATAGAACTTAATAAAAATTTTAATGATGCGAATAAAATGTAGCAATGATAGTGGTAACATTATTATTGCAGCTGCAATCACGACATTAAAAAAAAGCAATAAAAACAATCATAAAGATTGTAGCGATCAACTGGGAGGATATGCTCCATTAATTTTTAAATTAAAATTTCAAATAGAAAATCTTGAAATCCTTCTTGGAACATCATTTCAATATACCGTTTCTTTCTACTACCATATCGATTTAACCATTTCCCCATTGTTGATTAATTAAAAGCGGAATTTTGCTAACTGAAGGATACAATCATCAGATAAATTCAAAAATTCTAATCCAAAAGATTTGATTGATTTCACAGTACAGAGTTAGTGAAAAAAAAATTAGACAAATGACTTAGATTTGTTAGTGAAATTTTAATAATTAGCAAAAGTTCGAAAAACATACCGTAAAGAAGTAGAACATTTTTTATTGCATAAGCATTTTGATGACGTGATTCATATCCGTAAGCGGGTGAATCACGTGAAAGTGCAATGTATATTGCGTACATGCCACATATACAACTAATTACCGCAATCATTAATTGTCTTTTATTTACTAAAAATAATTAAATGCAAAGGAACAGAAGAAAAGTTTGTCTAAGAATTTGTTAAAAATTGCCCGAGAATTTCTTACACATATACACATGTATAAATATTTCCCGAATCATCAACGAAAGAGAAAATACATAAAATTTAAACATGGAAAAGAGATTTTAAAATTCTTTAAATTTTATCCGCTTCAAGATTCAATTTTATGCACCACTTTTATGAAATCCAAAACCAATTATTAAGTGGGAAATTAATTATTATCAAATTTTGTACAGCAATGAAAATAATTGAAAAACGAAAGTGAACTCACCCATTTGATGAAAAAATATGACCAAAGAAATGGCAATGCTATTTCTGGTTCCTCTTTTCCTGAATGGCTCTGAGGATTGGCCATTACCATCAGCAATATATCTCTTGTTTGATTCTAATTTAAAATTTGATAAATTTTGAAATTCCATGTCATATTCACCGACAACTAAGCGTGGTGGTGGAGGTTCCTCAGGTGTATGAAGTGTTAAGGTCTGGAATCAATCATGAAATTGAGTTATCTTCAAACAATATTTGATATGCCAAAATTTTAGAAAAGAATACCTACTTAACTGATGACAACAAATATGAAATCAATCCAGAGAGGTCATAGGTTAAGTGTAAGAAAATAAAAAATCGATGCAATACATAATATTGCATTTGTAAGTTGTTGTTGCTGTTGCTGTTGTTCATAGAGATTAATTTCTCGATCAAACGACATTTGACCTTTTTTTCTTATTCATAAATTTCTATTCCATTCTGCGGGGTAAATTTATGCACGAAGAATGATATAAAGCGGAAAAGGATGATTGGAGAAGATCAAAATGTATCAAATTTCAAGAAATAATTGCTTGCAAATGATTGATCGAGAAGAGTAAGAGTATTTGAAGGTAAGATTGGAATGAAACAACGGTAATATCCTGAATCATTCATTAGACTAATCAGAATTCATTGTTTTGTTAATGTTTATAGTGCAAATGAAATTTATTTTTGATACATTTAACCGACTAACACATTAGAAGAGACAACAAATCTCATTTCAACCACTACAAATGCTATGTTTTATTTCAAAGAAATTTGAAGAAAAGTGATTTCTTTGTGCTGTCAGTTTTTAAATATTTTTTTGAAATTTAAAATTTTTTGATTTATCGACAATAAGCATTAATTAAGCTTATTGCAATTGACCTCTTCAATTCCTGTTGGCATTGTAATGTTTGTTGTCTTCCGTTTCTCACCTCCGCCATTTAGATATATCATCTTCCGGTTGTTGTAACATGGATGACTAACATTCGATGCATTTAACTGTTCCGTATTTTCAATTTTCGAAATATGGGAATACATCTAAAATTTTAATTTTTCCTGTCATCTCTTAAAATTTTTGTTTGGTATAGATAGTAAGTAAAACTATATGAGAAAATATAAAAAATCAATATTTTTGAACTCAATATATTAAGTGAAACTTTAAAAATGGATGATAAATGAACAAAATTCAGAGGAACTGCTAAAATATACTTTCTTGCTGCTCCCTTTTCATATCATCTGTTCTTTTTCATTTAAAATTCAATGCAAAAGTTTTACGCTTTGCTATTTTTGTTAACAGTATCCCAACATTTTTTTGTTTTAAATTTTTCAAATTTTGATTAAAAAAAATATCTCGTTTGTCAGAGTTAGCATAAGAAAGTAAGGAAGTTTTCTTTTTTTTATAATAGCTTGGTATAAATTAAATATTTCAATGTGAATTACGTATTGCGTCTCTCTCAATTTCATTGAGATGTGACGAAATTTAAAAATGAATTTTCAAATTTGAATAACTGAATCAAAAGGGAATAATTTAACCAACTTTCGAAATGGATTCCATCTTTAAAATATTTGTTTTACATGTGATCAAATTGTTTTAAAATTATTGCTTTCATCAGTTAATCCCAGTAAATTTTAATGAGTGCTTAAAATCACGGCAGAAGTGATCGAAGATTGTGAACTCTGCCATGTTTACAAAAAATTAATTGACAAATAAATGGGAAATTAAAGTGAAAAGATAAAA